TTTTTTTTTTTTGTTACCTATTATTTTCAGTTTTTTTCGCCTAAGTATCATCAGCACTTTCTTTGTTGCAGTATTGTCTTCTGTTTTTGTTCGTTTTTATAACAAAATAAAATGTTGTTAGAAGACAAAAAAAAAAAAAAACGAGTAACACATTTTTTTTTTCTAAAGTATTGAAAATTTTAAAATCTTTTCTGTTTAATTTTTTTTTTTTGATTTTTAACAAACATCAAACAATCCTCTCCAACTACATGTAAAAAAAAAAGAAAAATTTTATTATATTTTGCTCTCAATCACTGTTCTTTGTCGTTTAATCAGTTATCAATTTTGGGTTTGTATCGAGAAAAAAAAAAAATTAAGGGAAAAAAGAGTTTTTAATTGATGCCTCTTTCTTTTCTCCTTTTTTCTTGTGGATCGCAACATTTTTTTGTTGTTGTTGTTGTTGTTGTTGTTGTGTTCGCCAATATTCATTAATCTTCAACAAATTAACTATCATCGAACAAGCCGACTTTTGACAATTTCTTCTTTTTTTTGCAGTTTCCTTTATTTCCTTCTGCTGTTTGTCTAAAAAAAAGTCTTTTTCCACTTTTTTATTCTGTACAAATCTATAGAGAAACCACATTAGTTAATGTTTTTCCCATAAACTTATTTCTAAAATCCTTCTGTGTCATGCCATCGCCATCGTCGTGGTCGTTGTTGGTGCTGTTTTTTTGGAGCACAAAAAATAAAAATTTTCTTCTGAACAGTGCTGAATCATACCGAATGCTAAAAAATATTTTCTTTTTTCGATTTGATTAGTTTACTGTAGTCTTTAGCTTAATTGACTAATAAGAATGTTGTCAAATTGCTTCTATTTGTTAAGACTAAATCTTCCTAAAACTGTTGTTTGACGAAAACAACTACCAAAATAGATCTTTAAGTTTATGTATCAACCCTTTAAAACTGTTTAAACGTTTTGCAACTTTCAGCCGTTGGCAACTGTTAAAATTGCAACTAAAGCTGACGATATAATTACAGCAAAATTGGTTCTAACACATCAAATAAGCATTAAGTTTAGTCATAATTAAGATACCGATACCGATATAGCCATTTATTTTTTACTTAGTTATAAACCTCTGTGTGCCAAGTGCCTTCTATATTTGCTGGTCTACCAGACCTTAGACAGATGCGCACGTTTTCTGGCATTGGGCAGAACTTCATTCCTACTTCTGATTATTGTTCGATGTTTCAAAACCAAAAACGATGTCATTCGAGATTTTTGGTATTCAAACTGTTCTCCAACGACAGATGACCTTTTCGGCTAAACTATCAGAACCACAATATATTAGTCATACTCACCAGAGAGTAATAATTTATACCAGCTTGGGCCTTGTGTTTATTCACTTTTTTTGTTTCTTTATTAAAACTATTAACAGTTTCTTAGGTTTTGCTGAATCTTCGCTGACGTCAGCGCTTCGTTTGTATGCTTTGGTAACTTTGTTTGTCGACTTTGCGAAAATGCGGTAAAAGCTGTTTAGATCGTTTTGACGAGGAAACAAGTAACAAACAGCGAATAATCCACTTGAAATTTACCCGTATGATGGGTGAACAGAATTTTCAACACATAAACCCTTCCAAAAATCGTTTCTACAGATCAAAGAGTTCTATCACTGTTTGACTAAAAGAAAAAGACCTTCCTTTTTCCCTCTTCTTTTACTTTTTCTTCTAGCTTCGTCTTCTTTTCCCTTTCTTTCCTCTTCCCTTTCTAATACCATTCCTCATACAAGCTCTGCAGGTAAACCGACAAGATAGGAAAAAGGACAGAAAAAAGCTGTAAGTGAATGATAAAATGTACTGTTTAATAAAAATTCATCCAGTCTATAACAGGTTTTTCAACGTCGTCAAAACAACAGTATAATATACTCACCAAAAACCTTTTTTTTAATTTTAAACATCTTTCATTTTCAAATAATGACGACGGAACAAAGATGGAAAACTTAAAAAACAAATTGAGGTGAGAATTAGAATGGTAACAATTTTGTTGAAGTATACTAGGGAATATCATTGTAATAATAACAAAAAAAATTATTATTATTTTTTTTTTTTGTTCTTCTTATTAAAGGTAGTAAGAATAAAAATAATAGCAAAAAACTGAGAGATACGTTGCAGTCAAAGAAAATTTATACGGAACATTCAAAGCGGTAGTGACAGAAAAAAAAAAAAAAGCAAAGAAAAAAGAGAGAAATGCGTAAAAATGAAGGTGACCAAGAAAAAATGACTATTTTTTTCTTTAAATCATGTTTAGAGGTTATTTTTCTTTTATTACTTATGATAAACTTAAATCGCTGTTGCGAAGATTAATGGAGGGTTCTGCTTAGTCCAATAAGAATCTAAACTGTGTTTTTAAATAAGTGCATTGATTTTGTGGTCACCTGAAAACTATGGTTGTCATTCACAAGAATTGCTGTCGTAATCTTCGTCGGCGACAGCAGCAGCAGCAGCAGCAGCAGCAG